TATGGGATTCTCAGCTGAGTTGGGTAGTCAAGAGATGATTACTTTAGTTAGTAAGGATTCTTGATTTCCAGCCAACAGCTTTTATATAATTCTTATTAATAAATAAAAATAATCTTTAATCTAGTATATATATATATTATTAGATATTAAGAAAAGCAGCTTATTTTTAAGAAAGTTATTAAGACTATAAAGTATATAATTATTAATATAAATCTGTACTTATTTTATAGAATAACAAGATTAGTATTATATAAGTATTAAAAATAGAAAGTTAAACTTAGTAGAGTATATATAATAATTAGAATATTATCTTCAGATTTTTTTTTTATATATTGTACAGGTAGAAATAAATAATAATCTTTATATTAACTGGTTTTTTAGAAGTCTTTTTATATAAAAAAGTATTCTGGCAGATATTCTCTTCTTTAAATATTATTATATAAGGATTAATACTAGATAAGATAATTTATATATATAAACCAGGTTATACAGGTTATAACTCAGGCAATATAATAAAATTAATATAAATAATTTATTAAGATAAAGAATTAACTGCCTGGCAGGTTAGATATTATTAAATATAAGTAAAATAAAATTAGCCAGTAAAAGAGTAATAATTAGTCTAGAAAAGAGTTATTTTATATAAAAGATATCTTGTATAAATAATATCTTATATAAAAAATATTAATTTTTTATTTTATACAGGGAAGAGCAGGATCTTAAGATTTTAAATAAATAATAAAATAAAAAAAATAGTAAATAAAAAATATATAATTACTATAGATAGCTACTCTGATCTCTATTATTTAATTTAATTAAATATTCTGGTTAGTATTTTAAATAATATCAGATTAAATTTAGTACCTGATTTTATATATATTATTACCTGCTTCTGTAAGCTAAGATAAATTATATAAAAAAAAGCTTCTATTTTATTTAGATATACTAGTAATAACTTTTCAGAATTAAAGCCTAGTCTCAGTAAGATTCTCTAATATTATTCTAAAATTTTTACAGACAGATACTCAGCTATATTCTAGTCTTATACAGTATTTCTTAATTACTGGAGAGACTTTTCATGTATAAAAAAACTATAATTAGTTATATATTTTAAATAATAATAATTTATATATAGCTGACCAGAAATAATATATAATCTTTTTTATTACTTCCAGATACTGTATTAATTCTAGATATATATATATAATAAAACCTGCGTCTGAAGAATAAATATATAGACTATATATAAAATAATCTAATCTAATATTATATCTTTAAAGAAGTCTTCTACTTTAATTAAAATTTTAAAGTAATTCTATATTAATTAATACAGAGATATTCAAGGATTGGTCCGTCTGTATATATATAATATTAAAAAAATAATAATTTATTTAATTATATTTATTAAGTCTTAATTCTTTAATTTATAGTATTGGATCTAAAGATATAATATTGTATTATCTTAATCTCTAGCTTATATATTTTTCAAAGATAGTAGTAAGCTTTAGTAAATAAAGATATTTTTAATTTATAATTTAAATAAATCTTATAATAGATAATTTTCTGTTTATATATAGTATTAAGATATTATTATATAATATTAACTGATATACAAGTATTAATATTAATATAAATTCAGATAATATAATAAGAGTATATATTAATAACTGTATAAATTTAGATATTATATAAATCTAGTTTTATATAATTATCTATAGATTAGATATAATCTGGTCCAGAAATAGTATATAAACTATGACTTTACTGTATATTATTTTATTATTATTATATAGTCTCAGGTATAATTATACAATAAATATTATATAATTAATATCTGAAGAAAGATCTTAGTTAATAAAATATTAATATATAACTGCTCTCTGTACAGACCTTAAAATAATAAGATATTTATTATATATATAAGTAAATAAAAACTCTTATCTATAATCTTTAATAATTTCTTTATTATATATTTTAAGCAGGTATTTTATAGCTATATTATTCTAGAGCTGATATTTATTAGAATTATTTATTTATCAGACAAGGTCTTACTCTATATAAATTTATTAAAATATTTATAAAGAGACAGTGTATCCTTCAGCTTGTAAAGTATATAGAATCTTTATATTAAAAAAATATTTCTTAAAGAATAATTTCTTGATCCGGCTGTGTAGAGAAGAATTAGTAATAATTATATAATTATATTTATTAATATTCCAATTACTTAATCTAATCTTGATTATATACTCGTGGACTTGTACATAGTATTATATCTTAATAATAAAAATAATATAAGCTGTAGAATAGTTCTTATAGAATAGACTAATAATCTCAGTCTTGTACAGCTCAAGATCAATAGCTAAATATATTATAATTAATACTATGATAAATAAATAAAGTACTGTATATAGAGTAATAATAAGTATCATATAATAGTGAGGTCAGCGGTGAGCGTACTTCAATACCAAAAATCGTTTTTGCCCGATGGCCGCTATTAACCGCCGTACCACACCGCCCAGACTCATTCATTCATCGTCATCAACCCCAACTGCTTGTTCGGATAGCCTCGGTCTTCCTTTACTTTGAGTGACTTCTGGCTTTAAGAAGACTTACAATGATATGGTACTTTGTCACTTTGTAGTTCCTGAGCAATATACCCATCTAGTCCAATCAGCTCTTTCAGGGACATGTTATCCTCGGGGATCATACCTATTTAGATTAACCTCGCTAATTAGGATTGCGGGGATCCAGACTGCTGCAAAGTAAGCAGGGATCTTTGTGACCAACTAGTAATCAAATGTGACTGTGATTAGTTGTTGATAAAGCTACAGCTGCAAAGGACTCCCACTTATCAGTTGCAGGGCTGTGCTCTGATGATAGTAGAGCGGGGTGAAGATATATTATCACCTAAGGGACTGAATATACTACTTCACTATAGTACTTTTATTTTCCGTACATGGACGTGGAGATCTGCCTCTTGCTGGATATAATTCCAGTCATACTCCCAGATCTATACCTTCGCATTTTTTGCTTCTAAAATTGCTTGTAGCCGCCACTCACATATGAAATGAAAGCGGTCTACCTACTACTCTGCAACTGCTTCACATCTCATCCCCCCTACAACCCTAACCCCAACCCCAACCACCAACCAAACATGGACTTCGATCCTATCGCAGAAAGAAAACAAGAACAAAAAGCCACAGCCTGGCTCCGTCTCTGGTCCAGCCGGCAGCCAGAGCTCCTATCAATGCACCTTGCCCACAAACACCGACCAGCCAGCGGCAAACCCGTCTCCGCATGCCTCTGGAAAAGCGGAGCATTCAACATCTGCTATCGAGTAAGATACAACAGCAACGAAGAACCAGATATCATCATCCGTTTCGCCGCTCTAGGAAGAGCCATTCTCCGCCGAGAAAAAGTCCAAAATGAAGTCGCAACAATGAACTACCTCCGCAAGACCACCTCGATCCCCATCCCCGAAGTATACGCCTCGGGCATCTGCTGGGCAGGTCCCTACATAATCATGTCATTCATCGAGGGTGTACCACTATCGCAGCCCCTTAAGAACCCTTCTGTCGAAGGACGACCAGTCCTAAACCCACAGATAAGCAATCACAGCTTGAAGCACGCATACCGCGAAATGGCCATCCTAGTCCTCGAGCTCTCCAGAGTAGAATTCGACTCCATCGGCGCACTCGAAGAAACAGAGCATGAATGCTTCAACATCACCAAACGACCTCTTACCTTCAACATGAACGAACTAATGGCCTCCGCAAACATACCACTAGAAGCATTCCCACCTCCCTCTCACACCTTCACTTCATCCACAGATTACCTCCGCTCCCTAGCTACACAGCATCTCCTCCACCTTCGTCTACAACAACAAAAACCCTCCATCACCAGCGAAGAAAACTTCCAGCGAAGACTGCTCGCTCGCTACCTATTCCTAAACCTAACGAAGAACCTCCACCTCACTAACCCCCATGGCCCCTTCCGTCTCTACTGCGACGACTTCCGTCCCTCAAACGTCCTCATAGATCTCAATACCTCTCGCATCTCAGCCGTGATTGACTGGGAATTCACCTACGCTGCCCCAGCTGAGTTCACATACGTAGCGCCCTGGTGGCTGTTACTCCAGAGTCCGGAGGACTGGGAGGGGGATCTGCATCAATTCCTGGATCGGTATATTCCCCGATTCTATGTGTTTTTGGAAGTATTGCGTGAGTGTGAAGACGAATTAATGGGGCAGGGGCTTCTCTCTGAGTCCCAGCGGTTGTCTCCGAGGATAGGCGAGTCCTTGGACAATGGGCTATTTTGGGTGTCTTGCCGCGAGGTATAGTTCTATGTTTGATGAGATTTATTGGGAGTTTGTTGATCGGCGGTTTTATGGAGATTTGGGGTCTTTGCAGGATCGTGTACGGCTGTTGAGTGAGGAGCAGCGGCGGGAGATGGATGAGCTGGTGAGAGGTAAGTCTGGTCGGTGTGATAGGGGTGAAGATGAGTTTGAAGATCATTATCCGATTGATGTGTTACTTGAGCTATGATTTCAGGTGTTACACCAACATGAGGTGTATATTGTTCAATTATCCAAGCCGACAATAGCTAATCCACAGTACCTGCCATGCAAAAAGGGTATCTATCATAACCTTCGCCCCAAAAAGCTGCACCATCCAAAACCCCAAAATAGACAAAGGGAACCAGAAGAAAATGTACATAAAGTCCTATACAAGTATAACCCGGAAGGGTTTCACGTCCGTCGACCGGATGATCTTCTGCCATCGGAAGGAGACCCCGGTTCTTCATCCACGAACCGGACGCTAGTGCCCAGTGCGCTCGCTCGTCCAGTACGGCGTCTAGTCGAGTCGGTTCGAGGCAGAACAGTACCGACGCGCAAAAGTCGACTGGCAAATGGAGTGTAAGAGGGCGTCGCAGGAGTAGTGGAAGCCTGCGCCATGGCCCGCGCTCTGGCGGCTCGTTTGGATGGCGAGGTGAGGAAGTTTGGTGTCGCCAGCGGCGTAGTCGAGGCCAATTGAATTTGGCTGTTTGCGGCCACAGCTAGGTCGTTGGTCTTAAAGGGAGTAGTGGTTTGATACCAAGGATCGAAAATGCGTCGGTTCGGCTCGGCTTCGAAGGTCGCTCCATCATAGTTTCTCGTCGGACTTATCAGAGGCCCTGGTAAATCCCGCGACTCGGACTTCACGCGTGCTTTCTCCAGCCAGCTACGGAACATGCTTCGACAGTGCTTCCTTAGGTTTCGTTCCTTCATCGCCTCGGCGGTCTCGGAGAAGCTCTTGACCTGGAAGACACGGAAGCTGAGCTTCCGCAGCTGGATGTTGGCCTGGCCGAGGACATGCTCCCGATTCACGTTGTTTGCTTGTTGCTCCTGGCGCTGATACACAAGCAAGGCCTCGACCCAGCGCGTCAGTTGTTCGCCAACAATTTGGCGCGCATAGTGATCATCGGCCGCATCGCAGTCCTGGAGGCGATTTAAGGTTTTCTCTTGCCATCGAGGTACAAGCTCGGACGCCATTGCCAAGCAGTGTTGCCGTGAGAATTGCAGGGCTTGCTGCCCCAGACCTGCCATATGTAAGGACCTGGAGTGCCAATGAGATAGAGCTTTCGATGCCAGATTGATCTTGATCTTCCTCCGAGTCTGGATATACGCTTGTTGGCGACGCTTTTTGGCAGATTCAACTGTCGCGACGCGCCATTTCTTGGTGAACTTGGTAGCCAGGAAGTAGTATCTGGCGGTATTAGCCCATCCCTCTATCTTGACCACATGCTGATATTTGGAACGCCAGGCCACAAGCGATTCCTGCGCTAAGCGTGGAGCGTAGAACTCAGAGGCAACCATCTCCCTCTCGCGTTGCAACGATAGCTGATCCCGCCAGCGTTCCAGCTTGGATCGGAGCAAGTCTTCGTTTCGTTGCTCCTCAAATACCTCCGCACGGTCAAGCAATTCGGCATAAGTTCTCCGAACGTTAGTCACAAAGACCGAGAAAACTTCCCGCTTGATGCGCTGCTCCCTAATGCGCTGCATGAGACGGTATCTCTCTGCTAAAATCCATTTGTACATCGCTTCGAGCTTGATACGTTCCTCAATTCGCGCATAGAGAGCCTGACAGCGAAGCTGGTCATTCCACGTTGTCCACGCATTGCGTATAATCCGTTGCCGATCCATCTCCCGTGCCTGCTTCAGCATTTGAGCGCGATGCACCCACTGCGAGTACGCCGCTTGAAGGATATGTGTGTCCACCATTCTTGTAACATGGTTAGCAACCGGGGCTAAATGAGCTTGAGCCCTCCATTCTATCAGCTTCTCCTCCAGAACCTTGCGGCGCTCCGTCAATGCTACTTGTTGCTCCCTCGCAATGACACCTTGAGTCCTTTCATGCCATAGTTGCATTACCCATCCCACAGCATATTGCTTATTGCGGGCATCAATCTCATGAATGCACTCCCTGTTGGTTCGAAACTTGCGCAACCAGTACAACAGAGAGCGTCTCTTGAGGCAATAGTCGTACCACTGAGGGGCACGCTGTTCGCAGAAGCTCCAGAACCACTGCCAATAGAATGTATGTTTCGACTTCTCCCTACTGATAACAACCGCCTTCTCTTCCGCCTGTTTGACCTCTCTGGTCCTTTTTAGCCAGGCAGCAAAAGGTTTTCGCAGAGCGAAGCGCTGGGCTTTCATCTCATTGACTGCGGTGATCTCACGCCATGCATGGAAGTACTTGACGCTAAGGATATGTCGCCGAGCTGCAGATGTCCGAGCAAGTTCCTCTGCAGTCAGTTGCGCCCAGTGAGAGAACGCCTTGGTGAGGAGAAAGAGATCCCGAGCCCGTCCCGCGCGCTCTTCCAGATGCTTGAAGAATCTCTCCGTTCGCTCTTCCTGCCGTCTGTCGCGGATGATGGTATGCCACGTTTGAAACGCCTGTCGAAGCAAGGTATTTCGATCTCGATTTACGGCGACCATCTCCATATTATGGTGGCTCTGTCTGGCCTGTATCGCCCTCTTAACCCACTGCGTGAGAAGTCGACGGTTGATGGCCCGTTGGCGGTACATATTGAAAGTCGATGCATCTCGCAGCAGATCCGAAAGCGATGGCCTATATAGCATTTCCGGCGGCATCTCTGGCCGTTCAAGGGGACTGATGCTATCGTCACTGGAGGACACTGAAGATGATTGCTCTCCCTCTTCATCGGAGCCATTTGAGGATGTTTTCGAGCGCCGGGCTCGTGAGGCTTCCGCTATTCTCTCTGAGCGATCGCGGTCGACGGCAGACCGGGCATAGAGTCCATTGGGAAGAGGCTTCTCGTCAGCCGGCGGCGGCTGAGCAGACGAAGATTGCGTAGCCAGAAAGTCCATCCGACTCATGAGCCGGCGACCCACGTCGATAAACTGTGCCATCAATTGAGTTCTGTCGGGGGACTCCGCTTCTGGAGAGACCCGCGTATGCTTCGGGGACGGCGACGGCTTCGTGAACGGATACTCAGGCTTCCCGACTTGTATTCGCGACATGGACGACCGTGAGCTTGGGCGGTTGATGAAGCTTCTCTGAGTTGGATCGTCGCCAACATCGTACATGGAATTGAAGGACGCCCGCCTTCGCAGAGGTGTCTGTAGTTGTTTTTGTGGCTGTGGCTGCGTTGAGTCCTCCCGGGTGTCGCGTATCCTTCGCCTAGGCCTGCTTTCGATGGAGGGTACACTGTCCGGGTACGTCTCATCGTAGGTATCATCCTCGCCGCCGAATTCAATGACAATGCCCATTCGTTCGAGGAGGTTTTCGAATTTGTCGAAGAGCGACTCTCCTACGACATGTTTGCTTCCCATTTTGAGCAAGAAGCGCATACAGGCATAGCCTGGATCCGCGTCGACGCCATGTTCGGCAATAACCTCGTCGTAGGCCTTGAATAGCACACGGTACGGGAGTCGCTCGACTTCTGGATCCCTCTCCGCACGGGTAATGACTTGGTAGAGGAGGCCGACATCTATGTTGAACAATAAGCAATCAGCATTTCGCAAAAGTAAACAAGACTATGAAGAAGTGTGGAGGGGGTGCTAGTAATGCGACAGGGCATACCTTCATCGGTGAGCGCCGGGTCTTCATGGGACAAAGGTCTTCGCTGAAGGGGAACGGGAGGCATCGAACTGTCCGCGAACTAAGGCGCGTTTTTCGCATATGGCTCATGGAGACGGAACAGGGAATCATTAAGCATCGCGGAACAGGCACACACACACACAAACACACACACACACACACACACACACACACACGGACACGGTCGGGGGTGGTGTTGCTAGGTGGGTTGTCAGAGGCCCACAATGCTCCAGGCCGCAAAGTCAAGCTAAAGTCAAGTTAGACCGCAAGAGAGATCCCCAAACGGACCGGTGGGACCCAATGGCACGGCCGGGCGACAAGGCATTGACTTTTTATCAGTCAAAAAGCCAAGTTGTTTTTGCTTTGCTTTTGCTTTTCGTGTCGCGCCGGCGATGGGAATGTGCTGGGTCATGTGATGAGATTATGTAACGGGGGTAAGGTCCAGCAGTCACGCTTTGGATAGAAGGAACAATCAATCACCTGTAGATAGTACTTAAGTCTTTAACTTTTTGTGTGGCAAAGACACTGAGCAAGATGCCGTCAACAAAGACAAGACCCATTGAGAAGTTTGCAAAGGCTGCCTCGAAGTGCTCGGTCGAGGTATGTTAAAATATGAATCTCTGAATCTGTTCACCTCAACTGACAGATGGGCTTTCAGGCCGCTGCGTATGGCAAATGCGTCGTTGCGGACTACAATGCCGTGCAAAAGGACATGTGTGCCAAGGAGTTCATGAAGCTCAAGGACTGCTTTCTGGTAGGAAGAAAACCCGCATCTCCAAAGACTTCATCTGTAACATGGCTAATTCACGCTTGACAGGCGGCCTCGAAGAAAGTTTAATGGTGGATGATGGGTTGCAGGAGAACTACATGATTTAGGCGCATTGGGCTGTTTGGCTTCTACTAGCATGTATGGCGGTGTCTGTATAGGAAAGGTCTCTACAGGTATATGTAAAAACTTATTATCATGAACGTGTGTAATCTTATTCATCCATCAACTAAACAAAATGTCAAAACATCGTAACTAGCGGGAATTGTATGGTCTAAGCTATCAACATCTTATCTGTGTGAATCGATCAAACCTCTACAACTTGAGCAGACGCAACAGGAAAGTGGCCTTTTGTACTTCTTGCTCTTCTTGGATGATCATTCCCGGCTCCTCTCCGCTGGGCACCTTGCCGTCCACAAGCTCGTAGCGGTCGAGCGGTCTGCGCACAACCTTTTCGATGGCCTTGGCTTGCGTCTCAAACGCCTTGTTGATGCCCACATCCTCGGGATCCGACAGGACGGCATACTCCATCTTCACATCATCAGTAGGAACAAGACCCGCCTTCTTACGAAGACGCTGCAGACGGTTGATGATCTCACGGCCCAACCCTTGCTCGGCCAACTCGGGGTACAGGTTAGCGTCCAGGATGGTCAGCAAGTCGCTATCCGTGTTGGGTTCCATGTTGGCCGACGCGCTGTCCTCCTTCATTCCACGCTTCACGACCAGATCACCTTCAACAAGCTCAATGCCGTCAACAAGCATCTTCTTGTCGGCGACGAACTTCTTCACGTCCTCGCTGGTCAGAGAGGGCAAGGCCTTCTTGACCTTCTGGACCTCCTTCTTCAGCTTCTTGCCCAACGTAGGCCAGTCGGCGGTCACACTGTACTGGACGTTGTACTTCTCCTCGTCCGAGGACAGGACAAGCTCAAGAACGTTCAGCTCCTCGAGGATGTATCCCTGCAGGGACTTCACATCGTCCAGGTACTGCTGATCCTGGTGGATGACAACGAGAGTCTTCAGCGGCGTCTTCAGACCAATGTTCCGACGTTCACGGGAGATACGAGCCATATCAATGACCTTCTGCATCCGGCCAACGCGCCTCTCGACAACCTCATCGAAAAGCTCTTCCCGAACCTCGGGGAAGGGAAGGAAGTGGACACTGCGGCTGTCCTCGCTACGGAGCGCCTCGGGGATGTGAGGGAGAAGCTTCAGGTAGATGGTGTCGGTAAGGAAAGGAGTGAAGGGAGCCAGGCCCCGGACCAGGGTGTACAGGACCTCGAAGAGGGTGTTCAGGGCATGCTGGGTATCATCGACACCGTTCTCACCCTTGAGACGTCTGCGGTTGAAACGAATGTACCAGTTGGTGGTGTTGTCGATCAACTCAAGCAGGCGAGGAACGACAGTGTACAGACGGTACCCGGCCATCTCCTCGTTGACGAACTTGAGAAGACTCTGGCAACTGGCCAGGATCCAGCGGTCCATGACGTTGGTGTTAGTAGCCTCCGCCTTAGGATCAAAGGTGTAATCGAAGCCCTGCGTCTTCTTGAACAGAGCGGCTTGACCCTCGAAGAACTTGTAGCTGTTCCAGAGGGGAAGCAGAACCTTGGCGACAATCTCCTTGACACCCGACTCCTTGAACCGAAGGGGCTCAGCGCGCACAACTGGAGAGTTGATCAAGTAGAGGCGAAGAGCATCAGAACCGTAACGCTCCATGACGAGGGAGGGATCAGGGTAGTTCTTAAGTCTCTTGGACATCTTCTTTCCATCCTCTGCGAGAACAATGCCGTTGACGACACAGTTCTTGAAAGGAAGCTTGCCAAAGAGGTGGGTACCAAGCACAGTCAGGGTGTAGAACCAACCACGAGTCTGGTCAAGACCCTCCGCGATGAAGTCACCGGGGAAGCTGTTCTCGAACTGTTCCTTGTTCTCAAAGGGGTAGTGCTGGGATGCATAAGGCATGCTGCCAGACTCAAACCAGCAATCAAACACCTCGCTAACACGGCGAAGGACGCCCTTGCCCTGCTTGCTGGGGATGGTGATCTTGTCGACTTTGTCGCGGTGCAGGTCGGTGAGTTCACCCTCGTAACCACTAAGCTGCTTGAGTTCCTCGGCACTACCAACGGCGACAACCTCCTTGAAATCATCGCTCACCCACAAGGGCAGAGGAGTACCCCAGAAACGGTTTCTCGAGATGTTCCAGTCGCGAGCATTCTGGATCCAGCTGGAGAAGCGTCTCTCCTTGACGAAGCTCGGCACCCAGTGGGAGTCGTCAATGCCCTGGAGCATCTGAGGGATGATAGGACCGATCTTGACGAACCAAGCCGGCACGGCCCGGTAGATCAAGGGAGTGTCGGAACGCCAGCAGAAGGGGTAGCTGTGAGTAATCTGGCTGTCGACAACCAGGCGTCCAGCAGCCTTCAGGTGCTTGATAATACCCCTGTCGGCAGCCTTGACGTGTTGGCCCTCGAAGTCCTTCACTTCGGCTGTGTAGCAACCCTTTTCGTCAACAGGGTTAGGGGGAAGACGGCTCTCACTGATGACGCCGTTCTCCATGCCAACTCTGTAATCGTCCTCACCAAAGGCGGGAGCCTGGTGGACGATACCGGTACCGTCCTCAGCAGTAACGTACTCGGCGTTAAGGACCCGGAAACCGTGCTCCTTGAACTCTTCGTAGAAGTAATCGAAGAGGGGCTGGTACTTCCAGTCCTTCATGGTAGCGCCCTTAAAGCGGTCGACGATCTTGAACTTGGCCTTCTTGGGGTCCTTGTACAGCGTCCGGAGCAGAGACTCGAGCAGAATGTAGTGCTTTCCAGATGCCTCGTCGAGGATCTTGATGTATTCAAAGGTGGGGTTGACCGCGAGGGCGATGTTCGAGGGCAGGGTCCATGGGGTGGTCGTCCATGCAAGAAGGGAAGTCTCGGGCTCGTGGACGAGGGGGAATGTGACGACGACGGCAGGGTCTTGCACATCCTTGTAGTTTTGTTGAGCCTCGAAGTTACTGAGGGGGGTGTTGAGAGCGGTCGAGTAAGGCATGACGCGGTAGCCTCTGTAGACAAGGTCCTTGTCGAACAGTTGCTTGAAGACCCACCACACTGATTCCATGAAGCTCACGTTCATGGTCTATAATGCATGGTCAGCATATGTAGAGACCGCGGGGTATAAGATGATGGGCCTGTCTACCTTGTAGTCATTGTCAAAGTCGATCCAACGACCCAGTCGCTCGATAGTTTGACGCCATTCCGAAGCAAATCTCATGACAATGGCTCTGCACTCCTCGTTGTACTTCTCAATACCAATTTTCTCGACGGCCTCGAGACCCGACATGCCCAGCTTCTTGTCGATCTCGTACTCGATGGGCACACCATGGGTGTCCCAGCCAAAGCGACGCTCGACATAGTGACCCTTCATAGACCAATAACGGGGAATGATATCCTTGATGGTCGAGGCCAACAAGTGACCATAGTGAGGCAGACCGGTAGCGAAGGGAGGGCCATCGTAGAAGGTGTATGGTTTACGACCTTCGGAGAGCTCAACCTGCCTCCGGAAGGCGTTGATCTCCCTCCACCTTTGGAGGATGGCCTCCTCCTCGCGGGGAAAATCAATGGACATGACGGGCGAGGGGGGAAGGGAAGAGGAGGTGACAGGGAGGAAATCTGTCGACTTGCGATCTTCCAGCGAGGGATCCGCGGGGTAGATTTAAAGCCCGATTGAAGGTTGCGCACAAGCGGCAGAATCGTTTTGACTCACCCCGCGCACCATTTTTTTGTCTCCACTGGCCAATCAGCACCCGCTTCGCCTACCGCCGACATCAGCCGGCGTGACTGTCCTTCTTTCAATGCGTATTCATAAACATCTCTAAATATGGAATAGTTTGGCTCAGGTACACTGTACAATGGCTACTACGCTAGTCACAAGGCTGATTCCCATCTTTGATGTACAAATTGGGACTAACCTCCCATGGCTCTGACTCACTCATGCTTTCTTCGTTATTGGAATGCAATCCAGGGCTGTCGCAACTCATGGCTGCTACGCCCTGCGCCTCATGCAAGGACCACCAATAATGGCATTTCCATTAGGCTTCCTCCTCTTCCTCATCCTCGTCCTCTTCCTCCTCGTCCTCATCATCTTCAGCTTCGGACACTTCTTGACCGAGATCCTTCAAACGTTGCTATGGAACAGTATGAGTCATCTGCATAGTCATTGGGTTAGGGCCAGTGGACTTACCTTGTCCTCATTTCTCTTCGCCTCCAGATCTCCGAACACGATCAGCAAATCCTCAAGCTCAGACTGTGCCGCCTTGCGAGCTTCCTCCTTCTCCTTGGCCTCCGCCTCGGCCATCTCGAGCTGTTTCCGGGCCTCTTCAAGTGCTTGGGTAGCCTTGCGTGCTGCCTCCTCAGCCTTTTTTACCTCATTTTCGGCCTTCTCGGCTCGCTTCTCCGAGGCAGTGCACTTAGAGGACAGTTCATTGCGTGTAGACTGTAGTTCTTTCGTAGCCTTCTCCTTAGCAGTGTCCAGTTCCGATTGTAAGGCCTTGGACGCGGACTTGAGCTCCGCAACCTCGGTCTCATGCTGCTTTTTGGCGGCGTCCATTTCGGACTTAAGCGTCTTGATGGTTTCTTGGAAGCTGGTTACTTCAGTTGCCTGCTTTCCTTTGCCAGCCTCCAGCTCGGACTGAAGGCTCTCAATCATCTTCTTCAAATCGGACACCTCAGTAGCATTTTGTCCGTTGCTGGAATCAATCTCCGACTGCAGCGTCTCAATCGTCTTCTTCAGATCAGAAATCTCTGCCGCGCTCTGGCCACTGCTGGCGTCAAGCTCCGACTGCAGCGTCTCAATTGTCTTCTTCAGGTCAGAAACCTCTGCCGCACTCTGTCCATTGCTGGTATCGAGCTCCGACTGTAACTTCTGGATTGTCTTGTTGAGGTCGGAGACCTCAGACTCATGTTTCTCTTGACTGGCATCCATCTGCGACTTGAGCTCCTCAATTGTTTTGTTCAGGCCAGAGACTTCGGTAGTATGCTGTCCTCTGCCTGTCTCAAGCTCTGACTGCAACTTCTGGATTGTGGTGTTCAACTCAGAGAGCTTGGCCTCATGGTGTCCCTTAACAGTATCGAGTGCTGACTGAAGATTCTGAATTGTGGTGTTAAGTTCCAGAACTTCCGCCACATGCTGTCCCTTTATCTTTTCCGCCTCCGACTTCAAGATCTGGATAGTAGTCTTCAGGTCAGCAATCTCAGCAGAGGATTGCTCCTTGCCACGATTGAGATCAGATTCGAGTGAACGAATCTTTTTCTGCAGGTCAGCCACCTCGGCTTCATGATGCTTTTTTACTTGGAGACTTCTCCTCTCATGGTCTGCAGATGTTTCCTTCAGCTGTCGATCAATGGCTCGTAACTGTTCGCCATGCTGTTTCAAGAGCACATTTTGAGCGTGTTTCTGCTGCTCCTTTAAGGCATTCAGTTCTTGTTCATGACTCCGCTTCAATGATTCACAGATCTGCTGCAGTTTAGAAGACTCTAATATGGTGGCGTCTCTCGTCTTTCGGTGTTCAGCCTGTTCGTGATCGAGCTTGGATTGCAGAGCAAGCAGATCCGACTCCAGCTTCTGTGACAAAGCGCCCTTTTCTTCTAGTTCTGCCCGAAGCGAGTCCACAAGTTCGCGAGAAACTCCTCTTTCAACGCCATTGGTGATCACTGAGATCTCGATCTCGGGTTCACGGTCAATCGCACGTAGCAAGCGGCTGAAATTGTCTTTGAGAAATTCAACAAAGGTCCTGTCGAAGTAGATTTCCGGAAGGCCACCGTCGTATTGTGCCCCCACAGTCTGTGGTAGGACCTCAAAGTCACGTACCAGAGGATCCTCTCTGAACCGGGTGATCCGGTCAATGTATTGTTCTCGTCCTAGCTGCTCGATCAACAACTTATGCAGAGTCTTCCGCGGTATGGGCGAGTCCTTTGAGGAAAATTCGTATATAATTCCGAGTAGAATGGTGCAAAGACCCGGAACAAGTACGTAAGTGGCTCCGCGGTGCTTGATTTCTTGCAGCAAGGTCTGTATGCTGCTTCCCTCACCCAACAAGTCATTTACGGCATCCGGTTCTTCGAAGAGCCAACCACAGAGCAGCATCAAATATCCAAGGGTGATTCTTTCATCATCACTTCTTTGAATACCGGTGATCAAGTTGCCTACTATCGTCTGGATGCAGGTAACGACTTCTTCACCCTGTTCAGCATCCCCCTCAGTCACACCCATGGCGATTGATTTGGCTTCAGCGTTCTCGAACAGCAGTTGGTACATCAAGACAGATGCCATCCAGGTTTGGTAGGGGTCGGCATTTCCCCGAGCTTCTGGCGGCATCAACAGGACAGTTAGGATATTGGGGATCTGGTCTTCTCCGCTAATATGGCCTTGGATCGCTCTTCCTAGCACGTGGACACGGATCCCGGTGTGGTTTGCGAAGAATGCCTTGATACATTCGCAAGCGGCAAGTCGCGCATCGAGAAGCGACAATGGAGCAGGCTCGAGAGTCAATTTCAGCAGCGCTTCGATAACATTGATACGCTGGAGTTCTTGATGTGTCGAATCCCCATTGACAGCATTCGGAGTAGGACTCGAGCCCCAAATGACCTCAACGTCTCCAAAACGCTCCTGCAAGGGCTTATTGCTACGTATTAAGTCGGCGCATGTCGCAAGAGCCTAGCACAATTAGCATCAACTTTACAGACGATTGGTGTGTCATACCTTGGATGTCACATTGACATTAAATCTTTGACCGAAAGCAGTGTTCAGGACTTGTTCCATGACACCATTGTTCCAGAACGCTGTCTGGTTGGCAGGAGTGTTGACCCCTCCTTTGATTAAAAACAGCTGGACGATAACCAAAAGTCCCCAGAGGCTCTTATCCCGATGCGCGAGAGCCCATTGTGGGGTGGGCTGTTCCGAGTCCTGATCCTGATTGACATCCGCGAGGAGCTTTGCTAGCCTCTTGACACAGCCCGTTTCCCGAAAATATGACTGGTTGGAGATGTTGAGCCTCAGAAGGTTCGCGAGTAAGGAAAGGCAGTCTTCAACCACTTCCGATCCGTGAGTCAAGGCACCTTCGGCTTCTATCAAGGAGAAGATAAGGTCAAAAGCGTTTTCGAATGCGACGAGCTTTTGAAACTCTTCGGAGGCCGGAGTGAGAGCGATCAGGAGAATCAAAGCTTCTATCCGATGCACAGTCGTAATTAGCAACAGTAGCCCACAGCGCTCCCGCGCTGGGGGGGAGCTCAACATACCATTGCGCACCGGCTCTCTAGCATCTCCCAGAGCACTGACCAGCCTCGGTATACCCAACGGCGCCGTCAGGATACATTCTTGTGTTCTTTCTGGCCGTGCGCTCGAGATCTGGAACATCAATTGCAGGGCATACAAGCGAGAGTAAAAGTCACGAGTATCCAGGAGGTCAAGGAGCGCGGTAATATTGTCTTGACGCTTTTTGCCTGGTCAGCAAGTGCATGTCTCGGCCAGTAACATGTACAAACCTGCGTAAATTCATCGGACAGCCAAAGGGCGATTTCGTCTGAAGCTTCGGGCTAGACAGCGCATATCAGCAGGGGATGCGACAAACTCGGCTGAAGAGGCCACCAACACTATTCTCGTCCGGGGTGAACAACATCAACAAGGTCTCCAAGACCACCTTCAACGTATCGACATCTTCACGATCATCTTTGAGGCTGTTGATCAACGGGCGTAGTGCGCCCGAAGCAACGGAGGCAGGAAAGGACTTTGCAAAGCTTCTCAATCCTTGTATAGCTGCCCGTCGATCTTCTAGTAAAGTTGCACTCTGAAGCCGACCAGTCAGAGTATTAATTGTGTCGGTGGCCGTTTGTTTGGCCGGCGCCTGCGACTCGAGGATTCGGAACATCGCAACTGGTAGCTCGTAATTTCATGGTCACCGCCGGCCGGGGGCGTAGCAAGTTATAGGCATTGAATTTAGGGAGGTGTGGGGAGAGAGGAGAGAAGCGAGTGGATCAGCCAGCTGAGTTGTTCTCTCCGAAGCTGCAGCGGCAGCAATGGGTGGTGGTGATTATGATGAGAGCACACGGGATAGTGCCAGTAGTCCGCAGTATGGAGTTAGTAGTAGCCAAATAAGCCGCAACGATACCTAACTCAAAAGAATCAGAGCCAACAATGCTGTACTGCTGTGTCCCGACTGGTCATTGGTCAGGGGTTTGGGGGGCCCGCTGACTACGTACTTTGCTGCTTTGAGTCTAGTGTCTAGAAGGGGAAGTTCTGCCGGAACCGCGACAAAAGAAGCGCCGAGATCTCGGATTTCATGGTCGCCGCAAGTCGACCGGCCATTGCGATCGCAGAGACTTCCACGCCTTCATCATTCCCCCTCACCTCTCGAGAGGGTCAGTCTTTTACTCCTAGTCATTCCCACAGTGTGGGATCGCGAGTTTCCCTTTCCCCTACACCCCATACCCTTCTACGGAAGTAATCATTTACGGGTCATTCCTGCAGACTCGGAGACGTTGAGATAGCCGATGCAGCGCATCAGCGAACCTGGCTTAAATCGATAGATCTACTCCGTATAATCTGTACAAACATCTTCATACACTCTTTGTCAAATTCTACTAGCAATCATGGGTGTCCCAGCGCTTTTCAGATGGCTTTCCAACAAGTATCCAAAGATCATCTCCCCCGTTATCGAGGAGTTTCCGCAAGAAATCAACGGCGAAGAGGTTCCCGTGGACACCACGCGTCCCAATCCCAATGGAGATGAGATGG